CGGTGCAGCTTCTGCAGTAATGTGGTCGATGTACCGATCCGTCGTGGTGAAGAAGGAGCTGAGCTGTAAGGCGAAGCTCTCGATTTACTGGTCGTTCCGACTATCACCCATGGTCAGGAGCTTTGGGTCATGAACGAAAGGGCAAGATCCCGGATACAGGCGGCCCAAATGAGCTTCCTCCGCAGGGTGGCCGGGTACACCCTTAGAGATAGGGTGAGGAGCTCGGTCGCCCGGGAGGAGCTCAGAGTAGAACTGCTGCTCCTCCACATCGAGAGGAGCCAGCTGAGGTGGCTTGGGCATCTGTTTTGGATGCCTCCTGGGCGCATTCCTAGGGAAGTGTTCCGGGCATGTCCCACTGGGAGGAGGCCCCAGGGAAGACCTAGGACACGCTGGAGGGACTATGTCTCTTGGCTGGCCTGGGAACGCCTCAGCATTCCCCCGGAGGAGCTGGAGGAAGTGTATGGAGAGAGAGAAGTCTGGGCATCTTTGCTTAGACTGCTGCCCCCACGACCCGGTTCTGGATAAGCAGAAGAAATTGGATGGATGGATGGATGGATGACAAATCATCTAAGTCACTCTGTTCACACTGAGGCATATCCATCACTGTGACATGTTTCTCTATCTCAAACATAACTCTGTTGGTTTATAGACTTCAGTCTAACTTCTCCGTCCTCTCAGCAGATTCTCAGAGTTTACTCTCATCCTTTCTCTCTCCCTGTGCTCCCTATCATTCCACTGTAGCTCGTCTTCTTTTAAAGTATCTGCAGTGTTGTGAGGGGGCAGGAGGTGTCTGACTGTCAATATGTCGCTGTGTGCAGCTCCCAGACTGCGGTGCAGCTTCTGCAGTAATGTGGTCGATGTACCGATCCGTCGTGGTGAAGAAGGAGCTGAGCTGTAAGGCGAAGCTCTCGATTTACTGGTCGTTCCGACTATCACCCATGGTCAGGAGCTTTGGGTCATGAACGAAAGGGCAAGATCCCGGATACAGGCGGCCCAAATGAGCTTCCTCCGCAGGGTGGCCGGGTACACCCTTAGAGATAGGGTGAGGAGCTCGGTCGCCCGGGAGGAGCTCAGAGTAGAACTGCTGCTCCTCCACATCGAGAGGAGCCAGCTGAGGTGGCTTGGGCATCTGTTTTGGATGCCTCCTGGGCGCATTCCTAGGGAAGTGTTCCGGGCATGTCCCACTGGGAGGAGGCCCCAGGGAAGACCTAGGACACGCTGGAGGGACTATGTCTCTTGGCTGGCCTGGGAACGCCTCGGCATCCCCCCAGAGGAGCTGGAGGAAGTGTCTATGGAGAGAGGGAAGTCTGGCCATCTTTGCTTAGACTGCTGCCCCCGTGACCCAGTTCCAGATAAGCGGAGGAAAATGGATGGATGGATGTGAAACCAGAAATGCACAATTTAAAAAATGCCTTCAGTGTCTGTGTTTTTTAGCGTTCCTAAAGGCACATCTTCAGATTTACTAAGGTTAATCTTGTAGCCAGTTATGGTGCTAAACAGTGAAAATGGTCAGGACTTTTTTTATATCGTCAGTGTACAGGGCACATTGCTCATGGTTATACCTTTGAAACCAGCAATATTCAGCCTAATACTCTTAACAGACGCTGTGTCACACACCGCTAACCCCAGGAAAAAGATGTGAGCCCCAGCCATTAGTTAAGACAACAGCTCTTGGTGAGTGATATACATTTTGAATCAACTTAAGAAAGTCTACCTCCATCACAAACCTCTCCCCAGCACATTTATATAAAACGAATGCAATGATTCTTAAGAAAAATTCCAATACCTGGTGATGCACATACACTATATAAAAATATTGCCACAAAATCAACCATGTAAAAAACTTCATTATCTGTATACTACTACATTGGGTGCCTGGTTCTAGCTCTCAAAGCCAGGAAACGGTCGGTGAGATAGAGAAGAGGAAAAAGGGACACTGTGTACTGTATGTGCATATCTAAATTTGGACAGTGTGTTTTCTCTCATTGTTTAAGTGTGCCTGTGCATTTTCCTTGGTGTGCATGTGGGTTCAGAATGTGTTTATATTAGAGAACTGAGGCAGTCTGAATGGTCCTGAAATTTATCAGCAGGGCTGTTGTATTTGTTGGACAAAAAAACCCAGATAATAATAAATCAGCTCAATGTGTGTGTGTGTCTGTGTGTTTGTGATTGGCTATTATAAAACAGGACTCCCTCTCACTCACTCATTTACACACAAGGGTGTGAGATCGCCAGGGACAAACAAGAGTTTCTCCTAACAAGAGACCAATATAGACTATGACGATTCGTCCTCCCTCTGTAAAATGCCCAGCTCTGTCTCTGTCCATATCCTTTCTGATTTTCAATTTACCAGTTTCTACTGTTTGTCTATTTAATTCTCAGACCCCCTTGCTATTTTCACCACTTCTAAATATTACTTTCTTGCTGCTGTCTTTCTGCCCTCATATTTTCTCAATTCAAGAAAGGTATCCACACTTCAGTGTTTCACAATACCCCATAAATTTTCTCTACTTCATAAATTTTTTTCTGTCTCTCAGAACTTTCTCCCTCTCCCTCACATTTTTCCTTTCTGTATGTAAATGATCATCATCCAACTGTAACCCCAGGAGATGAAAATAGAAAAGATGCATTTTATCCATCGAGAGCAAAGCATGCAGAAACACACATCTCATTATCACGTCACTGCAGAGACAGAAAAACAGGCATACTAATATAGTACTCACTGTAAACATGAGCTGGCATCCTCCTAGTATGTAATCCAGAAAAGTGTAGTCCCTTGCAATCTAGACACACAAGAGTCAGAGGGTACAGTGAGAGTTACAGTTACTACCTAAGGATAAGGTTAAATATAGCTAGTGAAAGAAGAGAAGAGTATTAACCTAGGAACTCTTTTCAAATGCTCAAAAAAATTGTTTTAAATGACAAAACACCTCATCTTTTTCTAATCTAAAGTACCTCCAGCATCACTTATCTTGTTTGAACACAATTTCAACTCCAATTACATTGGATATGTAGCATGGATTATTGCTGTCATTAGTATAATCCCCGCTGGCAGGCAACAAATACAGTTACTATAGTAGCAGTTTTGTGTATGTGCTAGATATACAGTATGTGTGTGCATACGGCATGTGTCTGTCTGTACAAAGGATTGTTCATGACTGTGTCATAAAAAATGAAGGAAAAAGATCAATTACACCTGTCATCATATGCACACAGCTTTAATGTTATTATAAAAGGAATCCAAAGGCTCAGAGTTCCAGCTTAATGTGTCCTCTGTGGGGGCTCAGACAGAGTTACAGTATGAATGCCCAGTTAAAAAATGTTTCAGCTGATCAAAACCATAATGGCTTAATCAAATGTCTCATGTCGAATGTCTTAAGAGATGACGACACACCAGGAGAAACTGAATGATTTTTGAGTTACTTTTGTTCTTTTAGCCTAGAACCAGCCAAAGATTTTTAAAAGTAGCCTATGCCTTTTCAATGATACGTTTGATATTAAAACAATCTAGAGCTGAAACAACTGATCATTTAATAGATAGAATAGATCGATAATGCTGATTTGCTGTGGGGCTTTTAGCCATGGATGCAACTGAACAATGATAAGACCAAACTCCATCCTTCCATCCTCACCTTACATGACTTGACAATGATAACTCCAGAGTTTTTATAATTTTTCTTTTTCTTCTGTTTCTTGGGGTTGATGCAGTCAAACTCCACCTGAAGAGACACAAAGACAGTTGCAGAGCAGCAAAAGGTAAGACACAAGTATCAGAAAAAAGGGGTGGGGGTCAAGAAAAATTAGGGGGAAAGCAGAGATGACAAAGAAATTGGAAAGAGATCAGAAGAAATGAACAGATGACTGAGAGACTGTGATTTGGATCTGCATATATTCCACACACCACTTACAGTAACTTCAATTTTACAGTCAGATTTGGAGATGTAGTATAAGCTGAATATACTACAGTATATTGAAGTACACAAAGGAACCTTAATGTAAACAGAAAACACAATGCTGTTTAATTTTATGTCATGACTATGAAGATGAAAGTCAATTTTATGACTGTCTTTAACACAGTTATATAGTCACTTTCTTTAGAGAGCAATGTGTTTAATCAGGAGAGACATCTGAGACATGCACACACACACACACTGCACAGAAACGCCTGAAGTCAGTTGGTGATTTATATTACAGGTACAGTGCCTTGCGAAAGTATTCGGCCCCCTTGAACTTTGCGACCTTTTGCCACATTTCAGGCTTCAAACATAAAGATATAAAACTGTAATTTTTTGTGAAGAATCAACAACAAGTGGGACACAATCATGAAGTGGAACGAAATTTATTGGATATGTCAAACTTTTTTAACAAATAAAAAAACTGAAAAATTGGGCATGCAAAATTATTCAGCCCCCTTAAGTTAATACTTTGTAGCGCCACCTTTTGCTGCGATTACAGCTGTAAGTCGCTTGGGGTATGTCTCTATCAGTTTTGCACATCGAGAGACGGAAATTTTTGCCCATTCCTCCTTGCAAAACAGCTCGAGCTCAGTGAGATTGGATGGAGAGCGTTTGTGAACAGCAGTTTTCAGTTCTTTCCACAGATTCTCGATTGGATTCAGGTCTGGACTTTGACTTGGCCATTCTAACACCTGGATATGTTTATTTGTGAACCATTCCATTGTAGATTTTGCTTTATGTTTTGGACTACGCCCTTTGATTCCCCTGGATGTACGTGTTTGCTGGCTCTGACCTGGGACCGATACCGACCGTGAGTTTTTGTGTTTCCACCGTGTCCTGTATGGTTTTTTGTTTAGTTTTAGTTCTCTTAATAAAGAGACGGTTTTGTTTTACACTTCCTCGTCTGGCCATTTAATTGAGTTCACCTAAACACTTTTCGGCCGCATTGCGCGCGCCGTTTCTGACAGAGGTTGGATGGAGAGCGTTTGTGAACAGCAGTTTTCAGTTCTTTCCACAGATTCTCAATTGGATTCAGGTCTGGACTTTGACTTGGCCATTCTAACACCTGGATATGTTTATTTGTGAACCATTCCATTGTAGATTTTGCTTTATGTTTTGGATCATTGTCTTGTTGGAAGACAAATCTCCGTCCCAGTCGCAGGTCTTTTGCAGACTCCATCAGGTTTCCTTCCAGAATGGTCCTGTATGTGGCTCCATCCATCTTCCCATCAATTTTAACCATCTTCCCTGTCCCGGCTGAAGAAAAGCAGGCCCAAACCACGATGCTGCCACCACCATGTTTGACAGTGCGGATGGTGTGTTCAGGGTGATGAGCTGTGTTGCTTTTACGCCAAACATAACGTTTTGCAGTGTTGCCAAAAAGTTCGATTTTGGTTTCATCTGACCAGAGCACCTTCTTCCACATGTTTGGTGTGTCTCCCAGGTGGCTTGTGGCAAACTTTAAACGACACTTTTTATGGATATCTTTAAGAAATGGCTTTCTTCTTGCCACTCTTCCATAAAGGCCAGATTTGTGCAGTATACGACTGATTGTTGTCCTATGGACAGAGTCTCCCACCTCAGCTGTAGATCTCTGCAGTTCATCCAGAGTGATCATGGGCCTCTTGGCTGCATCTCTGATCAGTCTTCTCCTTGTATGAGCTGAAAGTTTAGAGGGACAGCCAGGTCTTGGTAGATTTGCAGTGGTCTGATACTCCTTCCATTTCAATATTATCACTTGCACAGTGCTCCTTGGGATGTTTAAAGCTTGGGAAATCTTTTTGTATCCAAATCCGGCTTTAAACTTCTCCACAACAGTATCTCGGACCTGCCTGGTGTGTTCCTTGTTCTTCATGATGCTCTCTGCGCTTTAAACAGACCTCTGAGACTATCACAGTGCAGGTGCATTTATACGGAGACTTGATTACACACAGGTGGATTCTATTTATCATCACTAGTCATTTATGTCAACACTGGATCATTCAGAGATCCTCACTGAACTTCTGGAGAGAGTTTGCTGCACTGAAAGTAAAGGGGCTGAATAATTTTGCACGCCCAATTTTTCAGTTTTTTATTTGTTAAAAAAGTTTGAAATATCCAATAAATTTCGTTCCACTTCATGATTGTGTCCCACTTGTTGTTGATTCTTCACAAAAAATTACAGTTTTATATCTTTATGTTTGAAGCCTGAAATGTGGCAAAAGGTCGCAAAGTTCAAGGGGGCCGAATACTTTCGCAAGGCACTGTAGCTCTAAATGCCTTGTTGTATTACTGGGGCTCAGCTAAAGGCTGTTTTACATCTCCAAAGGACCTCTCATTTTCTCATCCTTATTTTCGCATATACACACACACACGCATACACACACACACACACACACACACACTATATCTCTTACGCTTCGTTTCTCTATCACCCCAATATTCCTACACCACTTCTGTCCCTTTCAGCTTGTTATTTTGTTTCCTCTCCGCATCATTACTGCACATGGAGCGGCTCAGTGGGAGAACAAGACACGAGGCTGCTTTGGCACATGCAGTTTCACAAATGAGCACAGAAGCAGACACAGATGCACAGACAAATACGCACAAAGAGTTACTGACGAATGAACAGTGTTCTGATCCCGGCATCTTTAGCAGACCGGAAATACAAAAGTGAACTGAATAAATATCAAATAGTATTTATTAATTAGCAGCTCAAACATAAGGCCCAACTGATCCTCAGGGGCCATAATGTGCCAAAACTGCAGCAGTGCAAATCTGTGCATGATTATTTTAGCTTCATTGTCGATAGATGCAACTGAATGCATTTAAACTGCAAATTAGCCAGTACGGTGCAGAACTGTGTCCAATACCGTACAGCTCAAAGATAAAGTAACACTAATAAGTATTAGCTGATGACAGACTGTGATTGTAAAGTTCAGGTACAGGCTATTTACAACCCAAAATCAGAAGTTGGGGCCGTATATAAAATCAAAAATAAATCTGAAAATAGTGATGTGTAAATCATCTGTCCTGTATAACATTGAAAACAATACAGCAGTACATTATTTGATGTGATACCTCATCATTTGTATTCTTTGTTCAAAATAAACACTCACTTCAATTCTGATGCTGCAACACATTCCAAAAAAAATGTGGGACAGTAAAGCATTTACCACAGTGTGATGTTGCCGTTCCTTTTCACAACACTTAAGAACATTTAGGGATTGAGGACACCAAGTGATTAAATGTGTCAGGTGCCATTTTGTCCCATTCTTCCTGCAAACGAGTCTTAAGGTGTACAACAGTTCAGGGTCTTCGTGGACACAATTTGTGTTTCAAAATGTGCCATACATTCTCTACTGTGGACAGGTTGGGACTATAGGCAAACCTGTCCTGGACTTTGCACCCATATCAACCAGCAACACTGATGTACTATTACAGTATATGTCACATACGTTCTTTGTAGACACATGCAGCACGCCACATGATATTTTTATAGGTAAAGAAATATTTTTATATGAGAAAAAGGTTTCACTGCATAAGCTGCTGCTACAGTATGTCGACTAAAGTCTGACTATTACATTACTAATGTTTCTACTTGGCTAGTAGGACAAAGGTTTAGTTTGAATAATATACTGTATGGCTGTAAATTCTCAAATGTCTTGGCTGCAAAAGGAACCACAGCCCATATTTATCACGCATCTAAGAGTGAGAAATCACTTCTAACTGCCCCAAAATATTCAGAATGATGCATATATGGCCTATGTTTACAAATAGAAGTAAGACCATTTTATCAACATTATTAACTTAGAAAATCACTCCTCTCTCCTTTCTCCAGAGGTGTCACGACTTTCCAGGAGTTGTAGGAGGTGGCATCCAGGCAGAAACAAGCACAAAGACTCCTTTGGAGGAGAGCTGTTTTTAGTTGGGACAGTAAAACATCTACCACAGTGTGATGTTTCCGTTCCTTTTCACAACACTTAAGAACATTTAGGGATTGAGGACACCAAGTGATTAAATGTGTCAGGTGCCATTTTGTCCCATTCTTCCTGCAAACGAGTCTTAAGGTGTACAACAGTTCAGGGTCTTCGTGGACACAATTTGTGTTTCAAAATGTGCCATACATTCTCTACTGTGGACAGGTTGGGACTATAGGCAAACCTGTCCTGGACTTGCACCCTTTTCCTCCATAGCCAGGCCTTGGTAATGTGTGCACTATGAGGTTTTGCATTGTCTTGTTGAAATATGCATGGGTGTCCCTGGAAAAGATGTCGTCTTGAAGGCAGCTTGTGTTGCTCTAAAATCTCTCAGTATATTTCAGCATTAATGAAGCCATCACAGAAGTGTAAGTGACCTTTGACACAACCCCAGACCATGACAGACCCTGGCTTTTGGACTTTTTGCTGGTAACAGTCTGGAAGGTCCTTTTCGTCTTTGGTCCTAAGCACACGGCGTCAATTCCTTCCAAAAAAGACCTGAAACACTGATTGGTCTGACCACAGTACACATTTCCACTGTGTGATGATCCATCCCAGATGCCTCAGAGCCCAGAGCAGTCGACTGTGTTTCTGGACACTGTTGACATAGGGCTTCCTTTTGGCACAATACAGTTTTAAGAGGCATTTATGGATATAACCACGTATTGTATTTTCTCACACATATGTTGGCAAACTGGCAATCTTCAGCCCATCTTTTCTCCCAAAGGACTCAGCCTTTCCTGGATGCCACTTGTACCAAATTATGATTGCAGTCACCTGTTTCACATGGAATCATCATTTCATTGTTTTACCTCATTACTGACCCTGAAATGCAACTGTCCCAACTTTTTTTGGAATGCGTTGCAGGCGTCAGAATTGAAATGAGTGTTTATTTTGAACAAAGAATAATGCTGATTAGGTATCACATCAAATAATATGCTGCTGTATTGTTTTCAGTGTAATACAGGACACACATGATTTACAAATAACTATGTTCAGTTTTAATTTAGATTTTACATGCCATCCCAACCTGTTCTGATTTGGGGTTGTAGAGTTTAAGAACTAATGGTTTCACAAACCATTAACCTTATATTCCAAAGGGGTTGAGCATCTTAGGTACTGAATGGTGTAATGGTATAAACCCAGCTCAGGACATTTGCATGTCACTATTCATTTTCCCTCCTTCACTCAAATGTATCTTCTGTTTGTTGCATAAAAAATATATAATATAATAATAATGTAATGACCCCTGGCGTGGAGGAGAGAGACTAGCTACACTGGTACAGCTAAACTAGCTAGCAGGGCGCTAGCACCTATGCTGATCTTGGTTAGCGATTATTCCAGGCCCCATACACCGCACGACTCTGGATATCGCCTAGGCGTGTCCTTTTACAATGACCACAATGCAACACTGCTTTTTCTGTCATTTATTTAGAACCACTGAACAATGGCACTTCCCCCAGGGTCAGTCTCACACACACAAGCCAAACTGACGGTCCAAAACACAGCACAGCAATTAACTTAGTAAAACATTGTCAGATAACACACCAGCATAAGTCAGCAACACTAACACATAACAACAATGGGGTAACACATAAGAACACTTTAACTATAATTTTATAACTGCTCTCTCTATTTACTGAACTCCCATGATGCACCTCTGCATCATGCAGCTGCCACCAGACCCCCC